CAACAGTTGCACAACGGTTGAGAGATAATTACTTCTGATTGGATCATACTTTTGGAACCGCAGCAGATCTTGAAGAATAGTCCTGTCACAAGTGATGATCTCTCAACCGTCGAGTTGTCTGAACGCACCCGTTAAATCGGAGTCAAAAACCGGAAATAATCAAAATTTATATTAAAAATTGCGTAATTCCTTTTACATAAATTTTGTGGGATTCGCGGAATCGTCGAGATTGAAATGTTTCTTCTCCCGTCGGAGAGACGAGTCGAGAAAAATGCAAATGTGTGGGTTTCAACCCCTGCGTTTCAATCTCATGAATATCGCGCTTAACGAGGGGATTAAAGCGAATGATTCATCAATCTCGCGTCAGGTGCAATCAAAGTTTCTTATTCTCGTGATCCAATCAGAGTCCGATTAAGGGTCGGATCGCGCGCGTAAGCCTTGCGGGTAAGTTTTGATGGCGAAAATCCCGAAGAAGCGTTGTCACGACGGAACGATCGCGTGAGAACGAGCTGACGAATCCCCGCGCGGTTGGTGCCAGCGAATGCTTGAGCACGAGAGGGGAGGGGCGAGGAGCGTGGAAGCGTCGGTAGGTCGAGCGGAACGGTGTATCGTGGCGCGAGGATCCTGTTGGCGTTTTCCGGAAAGAGACAAAGGCATCGCGCGCGGTGTTCTTTGTGCGGCGGACAGGAAAGCGGTCGTGGGCCGCGGATAGACACGAAGAGTAATCGCGGGGTTTGCAGCACTCTCTCTCGGCTGTGGAGGAAGGAGCGAGGAGGAGAGTGGTGGGGTAACGTCGCATCCGTTCTTTCCGTGCTCCGGTGTCGTCGTCTCCGTCGGCGCCGAGGTGTGCAGTGCGAGGAATTCGCGGTGCGGTGTGCGCGCGGTAGAGCAGTAAAGAAGGCAAGAGAAAGGGAGATCGTGAGAGGCAGCGTGCGAACGAGAAAGAGCGTGAAGGGAGATTGTGAGGGAGAGAGAGAGAGAGCGAGAGAGTGAGAGAGTGAGAGAGTGAGAGAGATAGATAGAGAGAAAGAAAGAGGGAAAACGCGAGAGGGTATAATCAGGGGAAACAATCGACGGCACGTAATCCGACGTCTCCGTGACACGTTCGTGAAGTCCTCCGATGTCTAGTGCTGAGGTGGCGGAGAGCTCCGTTGATCCCCCAGCCAAGAAGCGACGCGTTGGTGCTGCCAGCACGACGGGAGGAGCCGACGACGAGCCGAAAACGACGAACGTGGCGGAGATGGCAAAGAACGGCTCCACGAGTAGCGGCGGTCCCACGAGCAGCGCCGGCCGGGCACCCGCTGAGATCGACGAGGGTCTTTATTCCCGCCAGCTTTACGTACTCGGTCACGACGCGATGCGTCGCATGGCGTCCTCGGATGTGCTGATATCCGGCCTCGGTGGTCTCGGCGTTGAGATCGCTAAAAACGTCATCCTCGGCGGCGTCAAGTCCGTCACGCTCCACGATCAAGCTTTGTGCAAACTGGCTGATCTGGGCTCGCAATTCTATCTGAGCGAGACTGATATAGGTGAGATGGAGCAAAACTTGAACACTAATCTAAAACACAAGGAAAATGAAAAAAAAAAAAAAACCACATATATATTTCTTTGTTGCTAAAAACAACTAAGAAAGAGAAAATCAAAAGTACAAGACGTGATATAAAATTATGATTTTCAGAAAATCTGCATATAAAATAAACAATGCACACATGTAAAATATTATAAGTAAATCAGAAAAACAATAAATCCCCTATATATTCAAACTACAGAGTAAGAAGAACAGAATGTAGTGTAAAAACTACTGAAATATAAATAGAATAATTCACAAAATAGATATATAATTTTACAAGAGATAAATACATGGGATTTCTTTGTGCAATACAATGCGCAACTTACTGCAACAATATCACAGAGTTGCCTTTGTTTTTTCTTGTCAGATAAACAGTCAAATGGGAAAATTATCAAAATGATAAGATTTAAATTTGATACGAGACAAATTATACGCTAGCACATTATTTGTTAAAATTTATAATTCAGTTTTCACCACACGTAAGCAAAATTGCTAATTTTACTCTAATCACAATCAAAATATTGGATAAATCTCTAAGAATGTCTTCTATTAATGCAAGTCATCGTGAGAAGGTTGCAAAATATTGCTCAAACAGTCTCAGTGATACTTGTTTTCAACTCTGTCAGTTTCAAAAATTGCCAATGAAAACTTTGTAACTTACAATTTTATATTATTTGTAATTAAAATTTATATATTGAATATAATAGATTGAATTTTTTGCGTAATTAATTATTTTCACAGCCGGTATATATTAAAACTGATCTTAACTTAACAGGTAAAAATCGCGCAGCCGCGTGCTGTCAACGCCTATCAGAGCTAAACAACTACGTGCCTACTCGCCATTATTCTGGCTCGTTGAGCGAGGATTACATTCAGCAATTCAAGGTTGTAGTATTAACGGAAACGTCGCTTTCGGAGCAGATACGTATTTCAGAAATAACCCACGCAAATAATATCGCTCTGATAATCGCCGACACCCGCGGCCTCTTCTCTCAAGTGTTTTGTGATTTTGGCGAAACGTTTACCGTGGTGGATACAAACGGTGAACCACCGGTATCCGCAATGGTTGCTAGCATTTCTCGCGAGAGCGAAGGCGTCGTCACGTGTTTAGACGATACTCGCCACGGTATGGAGGATGGCGACTACGTGACTTTCTCAGAGGTGCAAGGCATGACTGAGCTGAACGGTTGTGATCCAATTAAGATCAAAGTGTTGGGTCCGTACACTTTCAGCATAGGAGATACTTCCAAGTATGGCATGTGTAATACTTTATGTCAATTGATTGTTTAATCGTCACATTCGGCAATTTTGCCGTTATAATTTTATTATGCTATTTATATATAAATTTTATTTTATAGATATTATATTTATTATTATTTTTACTTTAACGAGATTCTCCTGTCTAAAAATTTTCAGATTTTCCGAGTATATACGTGGCGGCATTGTGACCCAGGTGAAGATGCCCAAGACGTTGCGCTTTGATCCATTCAAGACAGCTCTCAAAAAACCCGAATTTCTTGTCACGGATTTCGGCAAGTTCCAATATCCGGAGCAGCTGCATCTGGCCTTTTTGACATTGCACTGTTATGTGGCCGATAAAGGCGCGTCGCCGCGGCCTTGGAACCAAGAGGATGCCGACGAGTTTCTAACTCTCGCCGAGAAGGTGAAAAACAATTACGGTTTCGAGACTGAGATTGACAGCGAGTTGTTGAGCACATTCGCCAAAGTGTCTGCCGGTGATCTGAATCCCATGAACGCCACGATTGGCGGTATCGTCGCTCAAGAAGTAATGAAAGCTTGCTCCGGAAAATTCCATCCTATCTATCAGTGGCTATACTTCGACGCCATCGAATGTCTGCCTTCCGATCGTTCGGAAGTTGTCGAGAAGGATTGCTGTCCTACGGGATCCCGTTACGACTCTCAGGTGCGAGTTAGAACATTATACATTTAAGAGACAATACTTATTTTTTTAAACACAGTATGTATTAAAATTGTATTTTTCTTTTAGATTGCTGTTTTCGGGCAGAAATTCCAGTCCAAGATCGGAAGCTTGAAATATTTTGTTGTCGGCGCCGGCGCAATCGGTTGTGAATTACTAAAGAACTTCGCGATGGTCGGTGTAGGTGCTGAGAGCGGCTCTGTCACAGTGACGGATATGGATCTCATTGAGAAATCCAATCTGAATCGACAGTTTCTGTTCAGGCCGTCCGACGTACAACAGTCGAAGTCATCAACCGCGGCCAGAGTCATTAAGGGTATGAATCCCGATATGAAGGTGATCGCACACGAGAATCGAGTCTGTCCGGAAACAGAAAAAATTTACAATGACGAATTCTTCGAGATGCTAGACGGCGTGGCAAATGCGCTTGATAACGTGAACGCTCGCATCTACATGGATCGCCGTTGCGTATATTATCGTAAACCTCTCTTGGAATCTGGCACTCTCGGCACTAAGGGTAACACCCAGGTAGTTGTGCCTTTTCTTACCGAATCGTACAGCTCGTCGCAAGATCCGCCGGAGAAAAGTATCCCAATCTGCACGCTCAAGAACTTCCCTAATGCCATTGAGCACACTCTGCAGTGGGCACGCGACAATTTTGAGGGCCTCTTCCGTCAATCAGCGGAGAACGCAGCGCAATACATTTCCGATCCACAATTCGTCGATCGGACGCTCAAGCTGCCCGGCGTGCAGCCTCTTGAAGTTCTGGAATCTGTCAAGACCGCGCTGGTTGACGAGAGACCGAGCACGTTCGCCGATTGTGTAGCATGGGCCCGCTGCCACTGGCAGGAACAGTATAGCAATCAGATCCGTCAGTTATTATTCAACTTCCCGCCGGATCAATTGACTTCGAGTGGTCAGCCGTTCTGGTCCGGACCAAAACGTTGTCCAGATCCGTTAGTTTTCGATCCCAACGATCCTTTGCACTTGGATTACATCGTTGCTGCCGCCAATCTCAAGGCCAAAGTTTACGGAATACCAACAAACCGCGATAGAGAAGAGATCGCTAGGATCCTTACCACTGTTAAAGTACCGGATTTCACACCGAAGTCTGGCGTGAAGATAGCCGAGACAGATTCACAGGTGAGAAATACGTTTATTTTTTTATTATAATATTAACACAGCGCTAGCAATATAAAATCCCGTGATGTTACATTTATAAATAATGTAAACAAATATCTAAAAAATTTGATTGACTATCCACAGGTGCAAGTATCAAACGGCAGTGGTAATATCGATCACGAGCGTTTGACACAACTGCAGGAAGAGCTGCCAAAAATGGAGGATCTGAACAGTCTGGCAATATATCCGCAAGAATTCGAGAAAGACGACGATACCAATTTCCACATAGACTTCATTGTCGCGGCTTCGAATCTACGCGCGACCAACTACAAGATCACTCCAGCCGATCGTCACAAGAGCAAACTGATCGCCGGTAAGATCATCCCGGCAATCGCCACCACTACTTCGGTAGTGGCCGGTCTCGTCTGCCTCGAGCTGTACAAACTGACGCGTGGCGTACGCAATTTGTCATTGTACAAAAATGGCTTCGTAAACCTGGCGTTGCCATTCTTTGGCTTCAGCGAGCCGATTGCCGCTCCCAAGCTCAAATATTACGACGTCGAGTGGACGTTATGGGATCGCTTCGAGGTGAAGGGCGAGCTCACGTTAAAAGAGTTTCTCGATTACTTCAAGGAACATTATAATCTCGAGGTGACAATGCTCTCCCAAGGCATTTGCATGCTGTATTCATTCTTTATGCCGAAAGCGAAGTGCCACGAGCGCATGGGTCTGCTCATGTCGGAAGTGGTGAAAAAGGTATCGAAAAAGAAGCTGGAGCCACATGTGCGTGCACTCGTATTTGAGTTGTGTTGCAACGATGAGGACGGGAACGATGTTGAGGTGCCGTACGTCCGGTATACTCTGCCCTGACTTCAAATCGCGTCGGATACAATGTCTACTTAACTAAGACACTTTAGCCGTATATAGTGATTTCTACAAATTTCTATTTTACGACAATGTAACACATAGAGAGAGGACGTTACTGTTGCTGATCCTCATCTATGGAACGTGTTTAAGCAAGGCACTCTTTCTGTTTCTTTCTTAATTTTTCTTTTCTTTTTTTTTTTTGCCAAATAATTTGCATTCAAAAAAAAAAAAACGCGAATTGTCACACACGTTTTTACAGCTACTTTAGTAAGTAGTAATTTTTGAGCAGCAAACGAGCGCGCGCGATAGTGAGGTCATTTCGGTTAGTGAATAAGATATATAGAAAAGCTTTACATTTCCTTAGATTCTCATCTATTCCCCTCACAAATGTACATGGCTAGAATTTTCTTTTCTTTTTATTATTCGTATTATTATTATTCTCTTCCGCTGAAACGATTATTACACAAAGCATCTCTTATTTTGCGATCGACAGGCAATAAATTCAACTTGAAACTAAACATTTTTTTAAAACAAATTATAAATTAGTTACAAATGTCATGTAAAATCAAACAAATATTGACGAGTTTAACATAAAAATAATCTCTAAAATACATTTGTGTATTTCTCACTAATTTCTTTCGTGGTGTAAAACAAAAATAAATTGAACTTTCGATTTCTTTTTTCTGACGTCCTAATTTGATACACAGCGAATTGATACGTACGTTAGAACCGAATCTGCGATAAATTTCGATTTGTCACGCTCGCGAGCAAAATTTACCCGCATTTTTCTTTCTTATGATAAAAATTTCAATTTGTTTACTATTTCGGAAAAGAAATCCAAGAGGATCAAAGGGGAAAAAAACAAACTACTGTGTGTGCGTGATATATAAAAGTTTTACAAGATATACATATATATATATTATGTATATATATATGTATGTAACGTCAAAAACACAGTTCGATTAATGCAGAGAATTTTTACCGAGACGATAATTTTTTTGTTTTTTTTCTAAGTTACTATATATGTATAAAAATAATCGCTCTATTGTATCGGATGTAAATTAAAAACTGTGCGAGATAAATCGTGAATTCGACGATTTCTCTCATTTTCTCTCTAGGCCGATAATCACTGTAGTCCCATAGAAAAATTATAAACTAGTGTCAGGTTTTCAGCAAACACGATATGTATCTCGTCTGTTTTTTTTTCTCTCCTAGGTGAAGGAGCTAAATATGTAACTCTTCAGAATTAAATTTCACTCGAAAACTTTTTTCTACGTTGTTGCGATGGGAATAACAATCGAAGCGAAATTGTTTCGAATTACCTCCCGAAAAGTGCGTATCTTGCTTGCAAAATCTGACGAAAACCAGACATTTTTTGGCGATTTAATTTGTCGTCGACAAGACGCGCCAGATTTTCATATGCGTTAGATTTCAAGTCTACGAAACATCAGGCTTGATCGAAAAATTGAACAGCAGATTAGTAGCCTTAGCAGATGTGTCAAACGCAGTTCTGTTTAACGGCAGAAGAAAAATCTACTGAAAAAAAAAAAAAAAAAAAAAACTTCGATCGACAGATTTGTTCGAGTTTTCTCGACAAAGTTTTGTCGTCAAACAACATCAGACAGTGGAACACGGATGATGATCTGTTACTTTGCTGCCAATCTGTCAGCATATTTCTCTCGTTTTTTGCTCGTTGAAAACCAGTTGGTTTGTTTTTTATCTTTAGTTTTTGCACACAATTGTTTCACTAACGAGAAAACAATTAGAAAATTACATCATTAAATATATACATGTCTTCTTTTCGTTTTGCCGTTCTGTTAATCAGAGACTCGATACGTACACACACGTCTTATATTAAAAATCAATAGTCTTACTATTCGTTCAATTGATTTATCCGTTTTGCGATGTCTTTCTTTAATAATAACATAATAATAATAGTTTTATAGTACTAATATAATAATAAACTATTATAAATAAACTATTGGCTAAGGCTGGTTGTTACGACGAATATTATATATATATATATATATACATACCGCATATATAAATTTATAAAACAATTTGTCTTTGGAGAAAGAGAAGCTTCTAAAAACACAACAAGTTGCATATATACTTTAGACCAAGGAAGATAACAAATGAAAACGAGGAAAGAAAAATATTTTGTTAATTTTAGGACATAAATATGCGATATAAACGTGCGGATATTTATTATATAAATATATATACACACACACACACACACAAACATATATACACACATGCACAGCAGAGTTCCGCGTAACTTAATTTGTGATCAGAAACCCTATTCCGCACAATTCAAGTTTTCCCTCCGTCAAGAGACGTGTCTGAACATGCGTGACAAGATTGTGCGTAAGGTTATGTTTGCTCTTCGCAGATCGGTGTTCTCTTCCGGTACCGGTAGGAGAAGTGAGAAATTAGCGGCACGAGAAGAGAGAATTTGAGTAGCGCGAACCAATGAACTCTTTAAGGATTTAAGTTATGTAGAACTTTGCTGTATAATTTATCGATAGATAATATAAATAGATGTGTTTTGAATTTCAAGAAATATAAAATTATATAATATCGAAAGAATAAAATATGAGAAGTATATATCTACACACGCACATGTGTCGCTTTCTTTTTCCCCTCTCCTCTGCACGTGTCCAAAAAATAATAATTTATACTTTTCTAGTGTAAATTAATTATTATTATATTCTAGAGAAGTCCAAGTTACGTTTTTTAACGACACGTGACTTAAGTGTAGTCACGTGTCCTTAAAAACGTGATTTAAATAAAATCACGTGACGGGAAGAAGAGAAAAAACAACACGTGACTTTAGTCACTTTAAGCGCGTATCTCCGCCATCTCCACGCTCGGTGCTGACCTTTGTCAACTCGAACATGTGAACTTGTACACACGGCACGGAATAGAGCCGCTACAAATTGGAATCAAACCAATCAGAACAAAATGCACTAAATCTGAGATCGAGTGTTCTTTGGCCCAATTGGCTGCGAAGAGACATTTCGTTCTCAATTTTAATTCGCGGTCCGATATTGGGCTTTTGTGTAAAAGTCGGCGGCGCTTGATCTTTTTATCTCAGTGCTATAAATGGCGATTAAAAGATAGTTGCGGTAGATATAAACCGAGGACGTTTTTTCTGAGGTTATCTCGTACAAACGTCCGTCACGTTGGTCGATATTATAGCGGGGTAACAAAAATATCCCATAGAACGTCGCATTATGGGAGCTCAAAGTTTAATTTATGCTTGTTCGTTGTTGATTTTCATTTTTTACTTTTCGATTGTTGCGTGCGAGGTCGAACCGCGTTACGATGAGAAAATTCAACTTAGAACAACAACGGTAAGCAAAACTTTTCGTAATCTCCTATGAATCTCGTGACTATTCATAATCGGTATAAAAAAACTTATTAAAGCAAGAGTTATATATTTATATATGGGCGTTTTTCAAAAACTGAAATCCATAAGATTATTTCTTTATCTATCTCTCTAGATTTGTAAATTCTTCAGCTTTTGAATGTTTACAAATACACAAAGCTCTTTAATTCAATGAGAATTTAAAAATCTTGTAAAAGCAAATTCTAAAAACGGTTTCTAACTATAGAAATGTTGATTGCAAAGTGTGCTTTAACAATTACAATAGATGATACAAAGATAATTTAAAGATTTAAAACACAGATTTAAAAGTTTGAATCTTTACATTCCACGAGCCAAGTTATAAAACTTAAAAACTGTTTACATATATACAAAAAAAAACTTCTGAAAATTATGTTCTAAAACTCACATCTTGAAAATATCTAAAACTTTGTTTACATCTTCATATTTTATGTATTTGCAGCAGGTGCCAGAATTGGTATCTGAAAAACCACAGGACAGACTAGGATTTTTACATGCCTTTATAGCGTCATTATCTGTTATTGTGGTATCTGAATTAGGAGACAAGACATTTTTTATTGCTGCTATTATGGCAATGAAACATCCAAGATTAACTGTATTTATTGGAGCAATAACCGCTCTTGCATTAATGACTATTTTATCAGGTATTACTTTTAAATACTGTTTGAGCACAGATATTGTGGATATAAGAAAAAACATTCTTTTTTCTAGGAATCATCTCAAGAAAAATATCAGTAGTGTTTTTCATATTTACACAAAATATTGAAAAACTTTATACATACATATTTTTACATAAGTTTATATATGTATGTAAGTTTTTTTACAGCTTATTTTATGAAGTATATGTTTTGATTCCAGTGGTATTTGGATATGCTGCCACAATTATTCCTCGTGCGTACACTTATTATATTTCTACCGTACTGTTCGCTCTGTTTGGCTTAAAAATGTTAAAAGATGGATACTATATGTCACCCACAGAGGGACAGGAAGAATTAGATGAAGTTCAATCTGATCTGAGGAAAAGAGAAGATGAGGTAAATATATTTTTATGATTAAAACAACTGAAGAAAATTTAATTTCTTTATCTAAGTTATAGACTAATTGTAAATATTAGAGTTCTGTATATGTTTTTTATTTAAATAGTTTTTATTCGTCTTTTTATTCAGCTATGTGTTGAGAATCTACTTGTATATAAAAAAAAAACGTAAAGATATTGTATGCAATATTTAAAGCGTGATAAGAATTTAGTTGTTCAAACAATGTCTATAACATTTTTACAGGAGGTTAAATAATGTTTAAATATCATCGCTTTCAGTATGAAAAGGAGACAGCAAGTACTTTAGTTCAGGATCCCGAAACCGGAGTAATACGAAAAACTACAAAAACTAGCGCGTTCATGCTGCTTTCCAGGATATTCTTTCAAGCGCTCACTCTTACCTTTCTTGCCGAATGGGGCGATCGTTCCCAGTTAACGACAATTATCCTTGCAGCGCGAGAGGTAGTTTTGACAATAGTGCAAAAGAGACATCCTTTATTTAGATTTAATTGCATTTGATCATACATTATACTCTTCAGGATGTATATGGAGTTATATTAGGAGGAATATTAGGTCATTCATTTTGCACGGGCTTGGCAGTATTAGGTGGTCGTATAATAGCTCAAAAAATATCGGTGAGAACAGGTAATGACAAAAAAAACTAGATTTTATAGTCGTCGTCTAAAGACTAGAGTGTTCCTATATGATCTGGACATGGAACACTCTGGCCTTCAAATGACGATTCACACGGAGAAGTAATGCAGTCGTACATATAACTCACATTACGAAATACAAGCAAAGAAATTGACTACATAATACTTGTTACATTTTTAGTGACCATCATTGGAGGATTGGTGTTTCTACTGTTCGCTCTAACGGCGCTTTTTGTCAATCCCGCAGAGGACGTTTGAAGACTTTTCTCTCTTTCTCTTGTTATTCCGCCGATATTTGCCAGTATTTGAGTGTTCATGCTTTGTGAACATTTGTAAATCAGAAATGCGCTATTTTCACATTGTGACCGAGAAACAAACATCCTTTTATCGATTTTCAGAAGTCTTGTCTCCCAGAAATCAGCTACAATGTGCAAATAACTGACATCTCTGCTGTAAATTTGTGTATATAAGAAATTAATGTGCGAGGGATGAGTGTTAAATATCAGAAACGAATGACATACAGCAACGGCAATATCACATTCTTAGAGTCATTGACATGTATATTTGTACAATAGGATTCTCTGTTTCTTGATTTTATTTCCATAATCTTTGCATCTACTTAGATGATTGACCGCTTTTGTCTTCTTAAAGACAATATTGTTGATGGTAAGGATGTGTTCGAATATTCGCGGTACGGGAGAAAAAAAAATCACTCTCTTCTAAAAATTTAAAATATCAAGTACAAAATTATAAATATTATATGTGTGTATAGAGACAGAGTATGTACAACCGTGTGATTTCTTAATTTCCAGGATCTCAAAATCAAAAATTTTGTCGAAAATGTCGGAAAATATTTCTCTAATTGTTTATACCATAAATGTTTTTGTTTGTTTTTTTTTTTTTTTTGATTCAATGTACATTCAATATAAATATGTATATATGCTGAAAAAAATATATTACTCAACCGTACTTCACATACAAAACTGTTCAAATAATATATTTATACATGCCGTCTGTAAGATATTAAAAGAGACAGACATAGTTTTCTATGTTATATATAAATAAAAATGAAAATAAGAGATTATAATAATAGAAAAATTATATATAAATATTGATAATAGAAAAAAACATGAATTATGTGGAAAAATCTGCTTGTAGAGCAAAAATTTGAAGCAAATAAAGATTTGTACATGTATATATACCCATGAATTATTTTTTAAGTGTAGCAATGTTGCAATATATCGAGATAAAATTATAAATAAACTCGCTAAAAATAAATATTATTTTAATATTGTACATATAAGAACATATATAGAGATAAAATATAAAAATATATAAACAAGATATATTTAAGATGAATTTACTGTATATAGAAAATGTAATATGGATGTCGTTCAGTAAAAAAAAATTTATATATATATATACACATGATATAATACGTGTATATATAAGGGAAAATCAATAGGGAGTTCACACAGCGTAATATTATTTTCTTTTTCTTATCGCGAACACGGAATTTTTGTCGAATATTAACGTTTATTTGGTGCATGTATATACATGTTCTATTTACACTACTGAATACAAGTCTTCGGAAAAAGCGGTAAGTTCTCAAATGTAGGAATTCCAAATTGTAATTTTTTATTGGGGTAAAGTACTTTGAATAGTAAAGCATTCTATATTCTTTTTTTTTGTATACGATTCACTAGATAAATATTCGCTATAGTTTTTAGTTGTTTTTTTTTTTTTTCATCAATAGAAAGATGGATACATTTTTCGTCGTCGGGTCACAAAAATTTCGTAACTGAAAAAGTTTAACTAATTAAGTTCAACTTTTTCTTTTGTCCTGAAAAAAACGTAAAACTGCTTCAAACTTTTCTGAGCAACAAACTTTTTGCAGCTCGACGTCGCACGCTTTTTATTATATCGAATCGAGGTATACACGAGCATCGATAGTAATGCTGCTCACCTTCGATTCTATCTATAAATACTAACAGGACATGAAATTGTTGCGTCTCAATAAATAAAACAAGTCGTTGTTGCTTTTGTGAAACTTCGGTTTGCTTTGTTTTTTTTTTTTTTTTCGTCCATATATCATTACATACGTACGAAAATTCTAAAAGAGACACGAAATATTTAAGATTTTAAAATCTCCGAGAGAGATCACTAGAATCAGGTCCGCTTATTCCGTAACTTTCAATGTAAACGCGTTGAAAATTACAGAATAAACACGCAGATAATGATTAATGAATACTAAATATCACATAAATCTTTTATCTTGTTGCTATTTGTTTCCCTTCACTTTTCCGCACTCCCCGCTATACGCTCTCACACACTCTTCTCATTTTTTTCTTTCTTTCTCTTTTGTCACGCTTTTCTTCCGCTCACCACTTTCCGTATTCAAACAACACATCGGAAACGGAAGTCCTCATAGTTGTCGTTGTTCTTTAAAATTTACTTCTCATTCACTCTGTTTCGTTTCAAAATTTTTGAGAAAGAGTGGAAAACATTCAATAACACATAGTATGTAGCAAACTATCTTTTTTTTTTTTTTTTGCAAAAACAACAAGATTCCGCAAAAGTAACAACGACGTAACACTCGCGATGAGATTTAATTTACGAATTAAGCTGAAAACAAAATTTACTTAGAAAATATCATAAAGTATTAAGTGTATATAAATATATAACGTAAGATAAAACACTAGGCGACTACTAAAATGACACCTTGATCGTGAAAAACAAAAAATGTTCGTATACTTATACATTATGCACCCGGTATGTGTGTGTGTGTGTGAGAGATTTATCTTACATAAAATTCAAAATATCATTCGACTATGCATAATTGCTGAGAAAAGAATCGACCGTCTTTCTTTTTTTTCATCTTTATCTAGCACGAAGATATGCAATATCGTTGCATTGCGGGAACATAACATATATAAATTACAATTCAAACGCAAGAATCGTTGCAATATACAAATTGTTCAATTTGTGTTCAAACGGAGTTGAATATATACCTATCTAACAGCTCAGCTATATTATTTTCTACGCGCTCACTCAAGTCTTCTGTTAACGGCAAATTATGCGTATACTGCTTATAAATTAATTCAGTAAATAATCAGACTATATATCTCACAAAAAAAAACAACGCGGAGATTCATTTAGGCGGTGGAAAAACACTGAATTGAAACATTTTCAAGAGAGAGACGCAAATGTGAAGATGGACAAGTATACTCGTCTCACATATATGTTTATAGATATATCATGTTGCTTACCTATTCATATATATATATGTGTATATATATATATATATATATGCGCGATCACATTCATGATGGATTTGGCTGGGACGAGGTCGTTCTACACTGTGCTTCAAGAGCTCGGAGTTTCTCAAGTCTATACATCGGGTCCATCAGGTCTTTCTCGTCGGAAACTGCAGTCGGAGACTCAACGGTTTCTGTATCATTTTTTGGACGTCTTAATTTATACATTAGAGACATAAATTGAATATAATTGTATTGTGTAAAAATATTGAATTTCTCAAAGTTTTGAGAACATTCTTAATTGATTCTTGATGTGTTCCCGTATTTCTATTTAACCAAAAGAAAATAGAGACCAACTCGTTTTATTAAAAATCACCTGTCGCGAAAGTTAAGTAATTACTTGAATTATCTATAGTGCTACTTACCGATGGAATATTGATTATTGGGTTGTGACAAGATATTTTGGTTTTTTCGCGCTTGATCGATCTCTCGTAATCCTTGCTCTATAAAATCTTGGAAGAACTGATGAGACTTAACCAGGAACGGTTCTACGTCAGCCTCGGGATATTGAAGTTTGAAATCGTACAATTGTACCAAGCCCTACGAGAAAAGGTATGATAATTCAAATTGTGATAAAAATGTGTGTAAGATGGTACATAAATTTTTTTCACACGCGTAGTTTTTTATACACATACTTCTTGCATATGTTCTTTTGATCCGATTTTCTTAAATATTTCTGCCAATTGTTGACGAGTGGATTTGGACAGATGCTTTTGCGTTCTGCTCACATTGTTTGCTTTTGGCGTCACCTTAGCTGTAGCATTAATCTCATCTGGTTTAAGACTCTAAAGAAAACATTCGCTTAATTATTAATTAGTTTAAATTATTTACACGTGTTTAAGAGTGTAATATTGACATGATATAGGTTTTTTTTTTAAGAGAAAAGTATGCAATAATACAAACCGCGATTAATCTTATTAAATAAGCGTGCAACTCAGACTCGTTGGTGTTATTTATTAGCGTCAAGTGATTAAGTATCGAACTGCCTTTTACTCTGGTCATACTATGAAGAACTGTCTTGACTGTTCGTAATGGGGTGTCTGGAGACTTTCGTTTTTTCCACCATGTGGTTGGATAATCCTAATAAAAAGAGTAACATATATTTATACATATGTGTAAAACATAAAAAAAAAAAAGCAAATTAAAATAAGAAATTGCATTACCTTAAGGAAGCGATGCACTTCCAAAAGTATGGTGTCATAATCTAAGTCAGCGGCCCAATTGGACATTGTTTTCACTATTTTCCACAAACACTTCATTACCAATTCCTCGTATTTCGAGGGAACGTTCGACTCGGCGCACGAATGAAGTAATTTAATCAATACGCTAGAAATAAAGATAAATGAAAAATTATATAAAAAAAAAAACAAAGAAGTAATTAAGACAAATATTTTATCATAAGATCTTACCATATAATAGTGGTGTGATTTGAATTGTCGATAATTTTTACCATGATGCTATTTATTACTCTGTAATATGCTCCGGCTTGATTTAAATGTTCCAACTTGTTCTCGGCTAACAGGCTTATCATTTGATCCACCAATTCCTTCAGATGCATGAAAGGAACGTTCTTTCCAAGAAATCCAGTGTCATAAAACTGAAAGAGAAATGTTTTATTTCAAATCTTATTCTAAATATATTGTTGAAATATGCAACACGTTATTTTTTTATAAAAGTTTCTTATCAATAATTCCACACAAATATTATATTGATTTACGTCAGATTTACTTTATTAAAGTTAAAGCTAATAAATTACAAAATAATGTAATTGTGAACACAAATACTTACTGTAAGTATAAGCAGGAATGTGTTTCTGAAGCCCCTGGATACATCTGCATTTTCTTGACGTAAAGGATACGTCTGTAATAGCTTCAGTTGCATATTTATCGATCCGATAAATTTGTCCTCCTTGGCCTGCAAACTGGCTGCTTGAGGAGATTTTAATAACTGCAATATAGAATTATTATCAAATATTATTAGATATTTATAACTTGAAAAATAGTTTCTCTTCGTGTAAACTTTACATATAAAATGTTGTTTTCTATGTATAACACACGTATAAAGACGTCGAAGAATTTAATACAAACGTTTTCTATAGCGTTCATTGACTGTATCGCAGTGGGTAAGTCCATACTGGCCATAGACAAAATGTTACGTTCCAATGCCTCATCTTTACTATTGACAATAGAAGGTGACACTGATGACTTTGAAACCAACAATTTTGGGGGCGAAATGGGTATCATTCTATGAGATAAAGTAGAAAAAATTATTTTGTTAAATAATTAAGTTTAATACATGTTTTAATAAACATATTTACTGATATCTATTTTAGAATCTGCATAATTAAATCTGCTTACTGTGTCTTGGGTGGATTCAACATATTAACTGGGGCCTCGTTCAGATCGGACAAGCTGGGTTCCACCAATACTGGATTACGATATTTTACCGGAGCGTTCAGTTCGATCTTCTGCAAGAATTCCATGTCCAAGCCGAAGGGACCTGAAGGAGCTTTTGGTTGAGTCGATGTGGGAGAATTTCTAGAAAAAAAAAAAAAGACGCGCCGTATAAAATAAAGTAAACGCGTCAACATTTTTGAAACTTTAAGAAACAAACACATTAAAATGGAGAAACTATATGTATACGTGTGCTACTCTACTTTAAAACGTAATATCAGATTTACACACGCATTCGCGCACAGTGTGGCTAAAAGATGAATGAAAGAAATGACAGCGTGACTAAGACGAACAGAGATGACAACTGACGACAGAACAAAAATTAATGTAAGCGAATACACGACAAAATCTTCTAAGATACTTCCCAGCACCTAGTTTGTTAAAACGCACCGCAGAGAAAAATAATCTTGCATACAATAAAAAAAAAATCAACAAACGTTTTCGAATTATTATCAGGAAGATGATTTTGCGTTTCTTGATTATTATCGGGAACACGACTTTCAATATCGATGGAAAATGTCTGGTCCGGTTTTGATGACGATATCTCCTGAACAACCACAGCGGGCACCTGATTGTCTTCATTAGCGTCAGTGTTCTTAGCATTTGCCCTGCGGATATGTTACAAGCGAAGCACATGCGATGTGAATAATTTAAAAATAATAATTTTACTGCAAAAGAGAAATAATAGCAATTGTTTTACACACACACTGCGTTGTGCGTGTTTGTGATCTGTGTACTTCACACAACGGCATTATTAAATTTAGTTTTTATTTAGTTAACTTAAACTTATAAAAATAATACTAAGATTATAAAGGTCAAACTAGACGTAGATGCGATTATTATTAGACAAAAAATTGTTTTAAACAAAAAATACCTATAAATGCTAACGTGTACAAAAACAAAACTTACAACTCGGGTACTGATTCTATTTGCTCGGGAATCTCATCCTGTTCATCTTCGTAGTCTACCTCTACGTCGTCTGTTGGCGGACTAGAAGTTACGATTGTAGGCCCGGAAAGTCTGGTAGCGGATGCTGACTTTGCCGGCCGATTTTTCGCCGCTCTTTTGATTCTCTCATCTAACAGAGACTTATCTTTCTCCGATATCTACAACAAACAACATATCTATAGATGTCATATCTATATAGATTATATCCGTTCGTACACGTACCTGACCGATGAGCTTGAATACACGTTCTCCTTGAAGGAAATAGGCCTGAACTATGCAGTTCAGCGCGGCATTGCGAACCGAGTTATCACGATCCGCAATCTGCTTGGCGATTTCCTTCAATGCCGCAGACGGTGTTGGCTGACATACAGAAACTCCATAATTCTCAATTAACGATCCTAATTGATCCAAGCATTCTGCAAACGTAAACACGTTCGTATCGTTCGCGTATAAAAGTTTCGCGAATTTCTCATTGGAAACATTGATAAAAAATAAGATCCCTACCTGTTCTTTGTCGCGCGTTCTTTGACTTCAAACCTTCCATCACGTATGAGAATAACTTACTCACTGGATACACTAAAGCTATTTGCTTGAACAAAGCTCGCACGCCATTACGCACGGCATCTTTTGGATCTCCTATCTGTCGATCGAAATCATAAAACCAATTGATGTTGCATATATCGCGAGTTGCGTATATCAACAATTTATATACAAGTGTATAACGTACTTTGATAATGAGATAAGGAATAAACGATGCCGCTTCATTTTCCAGCATGTGATATTCGTCCTCAATTAACACATTGAAGACCAACTGTAAGTAATCTAAACCTTTCAAAAGCACTGACGGATTGGTGTCAAAAAATCGTAGTGTCAACCATTTGAGAATGAGATCAAGATTGGACACCAACGCCTTACTATTTCCAGGCAAATCCTGGTGAAGAAGATATATAAATATATTTTTTAATGAAAACTTGCATGTATCAACATTTTAAATTGTTTAAATTGTTGCACAAAAATTTTATCTATATGCACACCTCGGTAAGCGCTTCAATAGCCTTTAAATGATATCGGAAATCGGAATGGAACATGTTTGCTCTCAAAGTTTTGTTGACATTCGCCGCGGTCATGAGATCCTTTAGAAGTTCCACAAATTCTTCTCTAGGCGTGGTGAAGTTCCACTTGAGCACTTTTAATTTCTGCTCGTCGATTACACGTTGATGCTTCAAGTTGTTGATTACCAACAAAGGACTGTTGTCTACGTCATCGTCCTTCTTACGAGCACCGGCCGCTTTTGATGTCGCGCCCTTCTAGAACAACGAACAATTAGCAATATACCGCGTGTAAAAGAAAAAAAAAGATTACTGTTTACCGAGAAAAATAGTGTTTGATATAAACACATTAAATATATTTTATCGAAAAATTTCACAATAGTGATAGTTACCGATTTAACTACTTTCGCCACTTTTGCACCTTTCGCACCGTTCTTTTGAATATTATCGTCTGAAGGTTCTTTCTTCGGCAGAGGCTTTATTGGTAAACCGGGACGAGCTTTGTCTAGCGCCGCGAGTACAACCGTCCTCGATCCTGGCTGTGAAGTTTACGCGCAATTTCATTTTGTTGTCACATATAAATTTGCAAAAACTTTTTATTGTATCATTAGAACAATGCACGTGACTAGAATTCTTGAAGAAAAATCATCGACTTTACACCAAGAGAGACTCAATTATGGAAAATAAAATTATTACTCAGCGCCGTACCTTTAATTTCTCGGTATTTCTCATCATTGTTTCGTAAGAGAGATGAATCATGAAACCCAAAATGGCTTCCTGAGCGTTTTTTCGCACATCGGAATTGCGATCTTCCAAATTGGAGTACAGACACGGAAGGCACACAAGAACTTCTTCCTTCGGGATTTGTTTTACCGGAATAGACGGTAATTTCTGCGCCAACCAATTCCAAAGTTCAGTTCGCAGCATCGGCGATCCCGTTTTCAAACCGTCTCCTATCATCTCGCCGTCGAAAAATTCTTTGTAGCCGCACTGATCTCCCCACGTGTTGATGCAGGAGATCGCTGCCGTTCTGATCCAATTTTTGCTGTCACCTAAACACTGTAGAAAACCGGGAAACAAAACGCGAATATGTTGCTTTACCGGTGGTCCAATAGCCGTCGCCAATGTTTCGCATATACCTAAAATTAAATTTATAAAAATATTGATAAAATCTGACACAATATTTTTATATCGCTGAATCAATTAACAAGAGATTTATAATATTTATTAATTATTAAATATGTGTAGAAAAAATATTGAGATTTAATTAGCCAGATACTAACCCAGAGCTGCTTGGGCGATCTTGCTGTTGCTGTCCACAAGACGAAGAGCCAGACTCTGTGGCAAATCACCGATGTTCGATTTGATGAATCTCGTCTCGCTCAGAATGGTGTTAATTTTTTGCAGCGCCTCGTTGCGCACTTTCCAATTCTTATCGGCCAATTCGCCTAATAGCGCTTCTGTGATCTGAGCGCTGATGTCAGCGCGCGGAACCAAGTCGTTTAGATCCGTTTCGCCTTCGCATGGCTTCTTATCCGACAACTCCTCCGTATCTTCGTCTTCATCTTCCGCATTAACGGCGTTCTTTTTTGCTTTAGCGCCGCGAATAGGCGCCGGTGGCGTTTCACCGTTGCGTTTCTCGCATTCTTGCTCAATTTGTTGACGCAATGCGGGCTTTTCGTTATCAAAAAATGTTAGCAAAGTCTTGCCCATGTACAAGTACAAGGTGCTCACCAGTTTCACGGCAGCGGTGCGCACACTGGGATTTGTCATTGCTATTGCCTTCTTGATGTTTTCAATGATGGACTTGACATTGAGACCACAACCGAATTCTGTTAACCCTCTGCATAGCCACACCAGTACTTCCTGCTGCACTTTCGGATTCTTCTGATTGAACGCGAACGTCACTATCTCGTCCGCCACGTACTCGAAGCTCGTGGTCTCAGCGATTGCCAATAAGGTCTCGATGGCGATCGAACTGTTCTTGGCATCCGCCAGTTTTTCCGCAATATCTATGAGGCAATATTCGGCAACAGTAGAAGTGAATGGATAATTCTCCGCCAGATATTTTACAATTTCTATTCGGAGTTTCAATACTTGAAAATTCGTGTCCTTAAATCCGGGTTTCTTCGCTAAAATCCGTACGATTACTTGAACCGACACTTCCGCCGTATCCATCGTTTTTATCACGTCCGACAGCTGTATGACCGCAGCCAGACGCGTTTTCCAATTGCTATCTGCGAGACCCGCAATTACCTCGGCCGGCAAAAGTTGCGTCGCCATCTCGTCGATCTCCTCCGGACTGTAATTCTTCTCCTGTTTCTTCGGCGCTAAGTTCATAAGTGACGACGAACCACCGGGTTTTTTGGCTGCTGTTTTTTTCGCACCTAAGCCAGTGTTGGGTCTTCTCGCAGTGCTCGACTTACTCTTCGGATTTTCTTTGCTCGCTTTGCTCGTGTGTTCGACCTTAGCCGGAGCAGTGTTGGGTCGTTCCTGCTTCTTTGTACCACCAGTAACTTTGACTATTATCACCGCTTTGTCGGCGCACTCCTTGATCTTTGTCATCTTCAAATTGTCGATATCCGTGAGGAATGGCATCATCGCTTTTTCGCCAATCAGCTTCATTGCCGTGCCAAGCGCTTCCGCGGAGTTGTCGCGCACCGTCGGATCCGGTTCGTTCAGCGTCTTCAACAAACCGCTGGTATACGATTTAAGTAGCTTCTTGTTGAGATTTGCAGGCGGTGTGCGTGTGAAACATCGAGCCAGATAAGCGGCTGTTTCGGCCTTGACAGCAGGATTTTTGTTCTCCAACGCAGCGAGAGCGTCCTCGAGGATGAGTTCGATGTTAACGCTCTCGTAAATAGCATCGGCCGCTTCTCTCAATGCTTGCACAACTGTCTGCTTCTTTTCACGGAATTTTTCCAGAATAGCAGGCAGACAGGCGGCAGCGTACGGCTGAAAGCGCTTCTTCAGACCAGCGGCTAGACCGGCCAAACATTTTCCCGCAAGTGTGACTACTAACACGTTAGTATCCTTCAAAATGATTTTCTTCAAGACCTTTACCACTTCGCCGTAATCGCCGCTCTCCAGTTTCTGATTCTTCGTAAGAGTTTCAAGCACTTCCAACGCTTCTTTACGCTCTTGCCACTTCTTGGCTTCCACTTTCTCGTAAAAGTCCTTCGGTAGTTTCGACAGAATGTCTACGGGCGCTAGCAAATCGTAAGGATCTATATCAGGAATTGATCCACCGTCTCCATCCTCGTTATTGTCGTCCCCGTTTTCGCTTCCCGCCGCTGATTCGCTCGTGCCGATGTTCTTCGGTTTTTGCGAACGCAGATAACGCGTGGGTGTAACTTTCTCGTCACCGAGATTATTGAATTCCGCTTCGAGTTCCGTGATGTGCACCGGCTTCAGCGTGTTCAGCTGTTGCTTCAAACGATCGCCTATCCAGCGATACATTTCCACCACCATGATCTTACCCTCTTCTCGTACAGTTTTGTCCCTGTCTTCCAGAAAATTAGCAATCTTTTTCATCAATGGCTTTATGTTGATGACCTTAGGACCAAATTCCTTCAGTGCTAACGTTAGCGTGGATATACATGCCGAAACTATCTTCGGATTCTTCGCCTCTGTGCCTTTCAAAAGTTCATCCTGCACCGCATCATATTTCTCAATCTCAATAAACATTAGTGTTATCTGCACAGCCAGCTCCTTTGTTTTGGTCTTGGGCGCGGCGATGCATTTCGACACAATGCCACTCATTACCTCGCCGACAATTTTACCAGCCACTGCTGCATTCTCAACAAAGGCCAAAGTTGCTTCCAAACCCTTTTCTTGCGCCGCCGCATTGCTGTCAACTACAAACTTCTTGATAAATCCCACATATTTGTTCCATTCTGATGACTTCTCATCATCAATACATTGAAATGTCTTCACACACTCCTCATAGCCATGTAAACGTGCTCGCCAAGACTAGATAATTATATAAAAAATATACATACATTACTCATAGTTTTTATCTTTGTAATGCACATGTAATTTATGAAAATCTAAACATCCTCACACATGAGAGACACAAGCTTTACTGATGTCTAAACATTTTAGACCAAAACAGCTTTACTTTTTACCTTATGAACGCAGCGCTCCTCCAGAGGCAATTTCATATATTCTGTATCTTGCTCCATGATTTAATGTTCCGCAAGAATATCTATAGTTCAAAAAAGAAATATCTATTACGTGAGAAAAAAAACAAGGTCAAGTTGACACAAATTGCACAACTTCATGTAGACATTCATTAATATTAACAAAAGCATCAACACAACATTGAGAAAAATACAAATGTATGTAAATACAAACACAAAGATGATCAACAACAATTAATTAAATTACATTTTAACCTGGAGATTTTTATCAGTGACTGACCGAATCATAAAAATCTCATTTCCTTCGAAGAACAAAGGGCAAGTGCAATTTGTGCAATTATAAAAAAATAGTTACAGGTGTTTTTTCTCCAGCTGTTCGACACAACAGATTTTCAACCAAGTCAATAAAAAAAAATAACGATCAAAAAACCGTTTACGAGTCGGAGGAAAAAAATTTATCTCACACGACGGAAGTCAAACCGAGAGATCCGGCCCGCGAGTTTCGACATCGCGATCCGAACGAAACGGTTTCGCGTGTCGACGAGAAATTCAGAACTTACCTGGCAAGAAACCGATGGCATAGACGACGTTGACAAATCGTCGACACGGCCGGCAATTTCAGTCAAACTGAATCGCGCGGCGTCAAAACGTAAACCCGCACACGAAATTCAAGTGTTGCCACCGGACGAATCGTTTTTAGAATCTTCCAGCGGCCATTTCACTATCTTACATTGAATTTTCAAATGAACGTGCCCCTTGTAACTGTTAAGACGAAACGCAAACAAAAAGATGACTGTATATAGAGAGGCGTCCTGCGAGAAACCGTTCGATTTGACGTTTCAGTTCGACCTCGTGCCGACAGACGACGCGATGTATATGAGTTAAAAGGCCCGTTCTCATTCGTGCTACGACTGCGTTCTGATATTCACTGCCTGTACTCCTAAAATCTATACTTCGAGTTACATACGCTGTAGATTTTACGTAATGGAAAGATAACAAAACTGTGATTAAAACCACACACACGCAGATATATTCTCTATCACGTATGTATTTCGAAACCTCACTTCTAATTACACGTGTGATTGTTAAGCTCAAAATATACGCTCGTAAATACTGACATTGGTGTGTTTTACAACAGTCTGGACTATCCTGGACAAGATTGTTTGTTGAAAGTAATTTGTCAACCTGCAAAATATGCTTTAAGCGAAAACGGTGTGCTCTTGGTGATATTCTCAAAATCATATTCACGTAAGTATTGTAATAAAAAGTATATTTGAAAGTTTTGATGTAAAAAGAAATAAAGAGAGATGTCGATATAAATTACAATCAACGAACAAATAATGTAAAACAATTAAATTTGCATTGCAGACCTTTCACGTCGAGAAGCGAGGAGCTTCCAAATGACATCACGCAAGCTGAGCACGAGCAAATTTGCGATCAACGTTACGAAAACTGTTCCCTGAATCCTTTAGATTTAATAATAAATAATAGTAATAATAAGTCATTACGTCGATTATTAAAAATCTACACAAAATTCGACACAATATTCGATAAGTATTGAAAATAAAAGACTTGCATAATATTTTGTCCGTTATTTATATTTATTTATTTATTTATTTATTCATTTTTTATTTATTTATTACCTGCCTTTCTCTCTTTATTTTATTTTACACGCTAATAAATAATCAAGCGAACAAGAGCATAAGATTTACGCGCAATAGTCTTGGTCGTTGGAAACTATGGAACGCAGAAAAGGAGCTGAAATCGAGCGAAGGTATCAGGGAAGTATGTCTAGCGAGTAGGTATACGCGCCAGCTCCTGGGCGTATACCTTCTCGTATATAGCGCGCTTGACCGCACCCCGCGCGCGGCAGCCATTACGAAGCACGCGCGTCGGCCATTATAGATTGATCGCGCCTCAGCCAATCACCGCGCGACTCACGGCGCGCGGAGGCAATGGGGGAACGCGTAGCCTCGCCCACTGATACCTCTCGCGTTACCTCTTCGCTCTACGTGTGATCCTGATACTTTCCTGATATTTTCGAGGCTCTCGGAAGACGCGCAAACTCACCTTACCCGCTCAATTCTCTTGCTATTTCTCTCTCTCTTGCTTAANTCTCTTACATTTTTTCAATAATTTGTCAATCTTTAAACAACAATTTGTAAATTTATTATAAATATACGTATGTATATAAAACATACTATTTATTATTAAGGATTAATAGATGTAGTATATACAACGTACATATGTAAAAATAAACAGTTATGATAATAATGTAAGAAATCAATTTTGACGCATATAAATTTATAAATTATATATGCGATATAACTTATACATTATATATGCGATATAACTTATAAATTATATATGCGTAATTATATGTATATGCGATATGACTTATAAATTATACATGCGTAACAATAAACTGTATAAGTAATTATCATATTTTGTATATTGAGAAACAATAGAAAAAGTAACANTAAATTAGATTGATTTGCAATGTGGTTTCCAGCACCAAGGATTTTATTATTCTGTTATTATTACATAATATTGAAAATGTTTCCATTATTTTAATTTGTTTGAGAGTCTTGGGCACACATACTGTATGAATTTATAACAGAAGTTTATATACAAATACATAAACTTTATATATCTTTTTGATAATTATATATTACATATATATTTATTTTATTTTTATTAAGTATCCTTGTCTATATAAAATGTTACCATTAATGATTAAACTTTTGCAAGTATAACTTCAAATATAACCATTCTCACAATCAGTTTCTTTTTTTAACTNTAGTAGTCACTCAGTCTCCGTAAACATTTTGTGCTAAAATAAAATGGTAAATGTTTAGCCAATTGAAGTTTTACATCATCTATTACATTTGTGACATAAAAAGACAAATATCCTGAATAAATGTAAATAAAACACTTATATGGGAATGAACACAACATTTCCTCGCAAAAATTAAACGTAAGAAACACCTTATGCCAAATGGTTCTTAAATTATTTAAAAAAATATAAAACTATCTCTTAATTTATTATCTATAACATTAACAGTTATTTTTGTTTCAACTGACATATATATCAACTTGCAATATCATACTAAGGAATTTAAAACTGTGTTTTTGAAAGATCTCTTGCCCTATAGTTTTTCTTACAAACATAAATTATGTTCGGGAATTTGCAAGAATTCTAATATGTCCAGTTTCGTATGATATTTTATTTCAATTTATTCTTCTCAAAAGAATCTTTCTTCTTCTTCTTCTTCCGCTTTACCTTTATTCTTCGTTTTGTCTACCGCACAGCAACAATCTCTTCCGCAGTAGTAGCACATTAGGATGATTTGTGCAGAAAATAAAACATATTTTTGTAGACCACGAATGTGATAACCGTTGCCGGAACCACTCTGGTGAGATTTGCGCTTAAACCCTCGAGATTGCGCTGTCTTTCGACAGCGAATCAGGTGTGTTTCTCGTTATTTTTTTTTTTTTGCAGTTTTACATTCGCACTAAAGCATCAATTAGCTTATATATTCATATTCTTGTATACTCTTTGCTTTCTCTCGCACGTGCGTGCAATTCGGCATGTGAGTATATTCGCGAGCGTGGATTTGATTTTCTTTTGAAATTTCAAATGATCGGAGTCTCGTGATGAGAACATACGAAAGGAGAACAGAAAAGGATAAAAAAAAAAAAACATTGCAACTTTCCACACAACATAAATGTGATATACAAGAAAAGATGTGATAGTGAAGAAAATAATATTATTTCAGCGAGCAGCATCAGAATTCGTGGAGTGTATCATCTCCTTTTACATCATCATTTGCTGCTTTTTGCTTTATAAATTTTATTTTATTTTATTTTATCAAAAACTACATATATACGTATAAATGCAAATTACACAAAAAGACATGTATATTACACAAAGGTGTTTTGCCGGTACACAAATATATACGTCTGAAAAGTTGCAATTTCAAAAAGGATATCTATTACNCTGCTTTATTACAATTCTTTACCAGTGTGTTTTCAATTTTCAAGTTTCATCTTACAATTTTTTATACATTATAATAGAATACAATAGTTTACATATATTACATACAATATAATACAATAT